GGTAATAAAGATCTTACTAAGAGTATGTGAAACATTGTTAGTCAGTTCTATGTAATTGACCGGCAAACAGTCGATCCCCATTGCTACCGAAGCCATCGAACGGCCAGAAACATATCACCGTATAAATGACAACTTTAAGTTCGGGGTAAAAACAGAACCACGCATAAGCAAGGAGATCCTCAGCCCAATTCTGCAGAAAGAGAGAGGAATTGATAGCCATAAGGCTATCTTGCGCTATTGCCCTAGCCTTGTTCGCTACTACAATGATGTATTTGAGCTTTATTGCTTAATTGCATTCTTGATCGAAAGCCTTTTCTGTTTTCTGTTTTAATACACTCTTTGCCGTTGGCATCCTGGGGGACAGTTTCAATTCAATTTACACTATATAGGACATTTAGATACATTTTATAAGTAAAGTAATGGAACTTGTAAAAAAAACATAGAGCCGTAAAGAAATAAAATTTATATGTGAACGGTGGCCAAAGTAGCAAGAACTTTCTTGCTGGCCATCGCCATGGTCAAGTTAATGGCTAAGCTCGATCTGCATACACTACATTACATCATACATACACTACATTTACACCTATATAATAGCAAAATCAAACAGCAAAGTAATACATGGCAGCAAAATCAGATTTGATTATTCAGAAGGTGGCATTTGTACTCTTTGCTCAGTTCAGAAGTCTCTTGAAATGCCCCACCCACATTCCAATGAACCTGATCACCTCTTATTTCACATCATTAGGTCCGGAGTCAAGTCAGCAACCGTTCTCTTTCCTTTACTTGGCATTACGTGGCTGTTCGGTATTTTAGCACTGGACACTAAGACCATCGTGTTTCAGTACTTCTTTGCCATTCTCAACTCTTTACAGGGATTCTTCATTTTCATATTTCACTGCCTGCTTAATTCAGAGGTAAGGAGGTACTAAGGGTTCTTTCTTTTCTCAGCATCTTGCATGAAACTGAACGTTCATTGTATTTTTAAGATTTGTAATTTGCCTCTATAATTTCTCAATCCATGAGTCATGTTGTAATGTATTATGGATATAGAAACACGCTTAAGTAAAGAATGGAATCATACAACACTTGGAAATGCATGGAAAAGTAAAAGAAGCAGACGGATACTTCTCGTCTGCAGAGTCCTAAAAAGATTCCGAAGCTTTATTTTTTCGAGATTCTCAACATGCTTTTTGTTCAGGTACGAAAGGCAATGCAGCGAAAGAAAGAAATCTGGTCCAGCCGTCGAACTTTCTTCACGCCTTCTTCGACCATTCCTTCGTCGGCTGCTGCTGCTACAACATCTCATGGGGCTACGCTATCGGTAATCATGTTTAATATTTGCTATGTGGTGCTTACGCTAAATACAGATTATTCCACGAGCGCGCATTGGATATGGGATGGTAATTAAATAGCTATAATCATCTCATATCCAACAAGGGCGGGTGGAATAATTGTTTAATTAAAAACGCCTCCAACATATAGAAAAATAAAATAAAAACAAAAACGCGCCGAAGAATTACCGTACGCTCGACCGTGTTTGTAGAACATGGTGGCTCATATACCACGATGACTAAGTCAATGAAAACCCTTGAATTGCGTTATCCAGTAATCCACTTTAGTAATTGTTCATATACTATAAGCCAATGAAAACTCTTAAATTGCATTATCCATTGTTCCAGTCTTTAATAATAGAGTGTATGTTAACTTATAGACTACGAGTAGTCCCTCTAGCTTTCCGTCGAGCGTGACCGTAAATACACCCGCGAGGAAAAATGCCCGCGCGAAATTTCGCGCGGTCATTTTCGTCTTGTGATTTTCTTTCGCGTCATGCACGACGGACTAAACGAAAGAGGGACTACTCGTAGTCTATTTAACTTATGTCCCAAAGGTTCCAGTTTTTTCGACAGGTTATCTTCGGATAAGTCACACTGTTAAACGTAGTATATTCAATTGTCAGTAATTTATACTTCTTTTGCAACAATTAAACAATGATGATGATGCCGCCGCTGCCGTTGCTGCTGCTGATGTTTCTGGTACATTAATGACCAATGCGCTTAGAGTCGACTTATGTTTATGTATTTTTAAGGACGTGAACATGATATCCCACTCTGATGGCCCCACTAACAGCCAACGCGCCGTGGATGGTGATAATATTGAATGCAGTCCCGTGTCCGAAAAGAACGCTCCTCACGAATCGGACAAACAAGCAGACGTCAATCCTAGTGGCACTTGCCCAACAGCCAGAGAGCACTGTCCA